CACTGTGTGTATACACACTGAGAGTTACCACTGTGTGTATACACACTGAGAGTTACCACTGTGTGTATACACACTGAGAGTTACCACTGTGTGTATACACACTGAGAGTTACCACTGTGTGTATACACACTGAGAGTTACCACTGAGTATACACACTGAGAGTTACCACTGAGTATACACACTGAGAGTTACCACTCTATGTATACACACTGAGAGTTACCACTGTGTATACACACTGAGAGTTACCACTGTGTGTATACACACTGAGAGTTACCACTGTGTGTATACACACTGAGAGTTACCTCCGTGTGTATACACACTGAGAGTTACCACTGTGTATACACACTGAGAGTTACCACTGTGTATACACACTGAGAGTTACTACTGTGTGTATACACACTGAGAGTTACTACTGTGTGTATACACACTGAGAGATACCACTGTGTATACACACTGAGAGTTACCACTGTGTATACACACTGAGAGTTACCACTGTGTATACACACTGAGAGTTACCACTGTGTATACACACTGAGAGATACCACTGTGTATACACACTGAGAGTTACCACTGTGTATACACACTGAGAGTTACCACTGTGTATACACACTGAGAGTTACCACTGTGTATACAAACTGAGAGTTACCACTGTGTATACACACTGAGAGTTACCACTGTGTATACACACTGAGAGTTACTACTGTGTGTATACACACTGAGAGTTACTACTGTGTGTATACACACTGAGAGATACCACTGTGTATACACACTGAGAGTTACCACTGTGTATACACACTGAGAGTTACCACTGTGTATACACACTGAGAGTTACCACTGTGTATACACACATGAGAGTTACCACTGTGTATACACACTGAGAGTTACCACTGTGTATACACACTGAGAGTTACCACTGTGTATACACACTGAGAGTTACCACTGTGTATACACACTGAGAGTTACCACTGTGTATAACACACTGAGAGTTACCACTGTGTATACACACTGAGAGTTACCACTGTGTATACACACTGAGATTTACCACTGTGTATACACACTGAGAGTTACACTGTGTATACACACTGAGAGTTACCACTGTGTATACACACTGAGAGTTACCACTGTGTATACACACTGAGAGTTACCACTGTGTATACACACTGAGAGTTACCACTGTGTATACACACTGAGAGTTACCACTGTGTATACACACTGACAACCTTACAACCCATTCATTAATTTAAATATTTCTATAGTCACTCAAAATTTAAACTAATTATATACAGTCAGTCAAAATTATATACAAACTGTAAAAAATATAAAAATTAACTTCAATATATTTAATCAGGTAACAATAGTCTAATTTTTATACCAGTGACGGCTAGTTTTCCTAGTGCTAGTAGTAGCAGCTAACCATAGTTTTCCTAGTTCTAGTAGTAGCAGCTAACCATAGTTTTCCTAGTTCTAGTAGTAGCAGCTAACCATAGTTTTCCTAGTTCTAGTAGTAGCAGCTAACCATATTTTACCAAGTGCTAGTAGTACCAGCTAACCATAGTTTACCTAGTGCTAGTAGTAGCAGCTAACCATAGTTTTCCTAGTTCTAGTAGTAGCAGCTAACCATAGTTTACCAAGTGCTAGTAGTACCAGCTAACCATAGTTTACCTAGTGCTAGTAGTAGCAGCTAACCATAGTTTTCCAAGTGCTAGTAGTAGCAGCTAACCATAGTTCTCCTAGTGCTAGTAGTAGTAGATAACCATAGTTTTCCTAGTGCTAGTAGTAGCAGCTAACCATAGTTTACCAAGTGCTAGTAGTACCAGCTAAAGATAGTTTACCTAGTGCTAGTAGTAGCAGCTAACCATAGTTTTCCAAGTGCTAGTAGTAGCAGCTAACCATAGTTCTCCTAGTGCTAGTAGTAGTAGATAACCATAGTTTTCCTAATGCTAGTAGTAGCAGCTAACCATAGTTCTCCTAGTGCTAGTAGTAGCATCTAATCATAATTTTCCTAGTGCTAGTAGTAGCAGCTAACCATAGTTTTCCTAGTGCTAGTAGTAGCAGCTAACCACAATTTTCCTAGTGCTAGTAGTAGCAGCTAACCATAGTTTCCTAGTGCTAGTAGTAGCAGCTAACCATAGTTCTCCTAGTGCTAGTAGTAGTAGATAACCATAGTTTTCCTAGTGCTAGTAGTAGCAGCTAACCATAGTTCACCTAGTGCTAGTAGTAGCAGCTAACCATAGTTTTCCTAGTGCTAGTAGTAGCAGCTAACCATAGTTTACCTAGTGCTAGTAGTAGCAGCTAACCACAATTTTCCTAGTGCTAGTAGTAGCAGCTAACCATAGTTTCCAAGTGCTAGTAGTAGCAGCTAACCATAGTTTTCCAAGTGCTAGTAGTAGCAGCTAACCATAGTTCTCCTAGTGCTATTAGTAGCAGCTAACCATAGTTTTCCTAGTGCTAGTAGTAGCAGCTAACCATAGTTTTCCTAGTGCTAGTAGTAGCAGCTAAC